TGGCAATGGACGCGAAACCAATCAATAGACAATTGTTCAAAAACAAATACCAAATGCCGAATGTAGATGAACTTATTGATGGGGTAAGCCAGATTGTAACTGAAAACAAAAAGGGTACGCTATATTTTTCGGTGTTAGATTTGAAATATGCGTACAGTCAACTAAAATTGGCTGCGGATACAGCTAGGCAATGCAACTTTAACATTGTGGGCGGAAAAGCAACCGGAACTTACAGATTCTTGACAGGATTCTACGGACTAGCAGATATGCCAGCTGAATTTCAAAAGGCTATGGATAGAACCATAAATCACGCTAAAAACACGTTCTGTTTTCTGGATGACATACTTATTGTGTCAAAGGGAAGTGAAATCGAACATGCCAACCTAGTAGAAGCAGTATTAAAGAAATTGGATGCGGAAAACTTGGCACTGAAACTATCAAAATGTGAATTTTTCAAACAAGAAGTGAATTGGTTGGGTCATCATCTCTCAGAAGAAGGGGTTAGACCGAAGATCACTAAAACGGAAGCGGTAGTAAACTTGAACCCGCCCAAATCCCTAAAACAACTAAGGTCATTTCTAGGAAGCATAAATCATTTAGCTAAATTTATACCTAACGTAGCAAGTCTGACAGAAAAATTAAGACCACTTCTTAAAGAAGAAAATCAAAAGAAAAAGTTAAAAAACATGAAACTCCCGGTGAAAAAATTCGAGTGGGGGGATGTTCACACACAAGCATTTAATGCTATAAAAGGAGCTGTGGCGAATATTACGAAAGTGCATTATTACGATGCAAATCGTGAAACACGAGTTAAATGCGATGCTAGCCATGATGGACTAGGGTCCACTTTAGAACAACAAAATGATGAAGGGTTGTGGGTCCCAATTTCGTTCGCATCCCGATACCTAAATGCTCAAGAAAAAAAAATATTCAAGAAATGAGTTGGAATTATTGGCAGTTGTTTGGGCAGTAGATAGATATAAACACTACCTTCTGGGGAAACCATTTACCATCGCAACTGACCATAAAGCGCTTACAACAGCATTGGATGTTAATCAATCGAACAAGACCTACCAATCACGCTTAACCCTGTGGGTTGACCGGTTACTGTCGTATCAGTTCAACATAGTTCACATTCCGGGGAGGGACATGGGCATACTTGATTATTTATCGCGTGATCCTTTCAATGATCCCTGGCCCGAATCAGAATTAGACGAAAAGTTTGTAGTAGCAACAATAAACTCTTTTCATGAAGCGTTCGACTGCTGGAACAGTAGGCTTAAAGATTCAAGGTCGCTCAACCGGAACGAAAACGTTCTAGAATGTTCTAGAAGGAATGTTAGGAAACAGTCATCAAGTAATGATTGCTATAGCAACCAAAACGGTCAAAACCGAACAAAGCTCGACCGGAACGAGAGAAAACAGTTTCCACGACTGCAAAAACAGCTGAACACAACAGTTCAACAGAAACAAATCACTCTTTCGTCAAATCAACCCAGCAAACAGTCAGTCTTAAATAATTGCAAAATAAAAAAACGACCAGTACCGAAAAAAATAGAAAAAACAGACTCAAGAATCGAGATGTCAGAAAATGCAAACAGAACATACGACTGGTGGTCCAGCTCACCACAAGATTGGCGGAACGAGGAGCGTGAAGAAAGCCTAATGGACCCAAAGTGGAACCGATCATTTTCCACCAATAACGAACTCTCGGGAGAGGAGGAGATCACAGAGACAGTACAACGTACGAGAAAAATTATACGAGGAGGCAGAAAAAATAGGGACAGCTCAGACAGCGAAACACGTCAAGCACAACGAGTAAAATGGTCGCTGGAACCGGAACAACAACGAATAGCGGACCAAAGACTGCTCTCATTCTGGCAGCTAATAGGCGGAGAAAACAATGTTCAGGAAAATCGAGAACTGGTGGCCGATACTCAAGAAGTCAGGGACAATTTGGAAGACGAATCAAGTCCAACATCGTCAAAACCGATCGCATCGACAGAACGAAAACTCAGTGAGGTGAATGTAATAGAAGTCGACCTTACAACCACAGAAGAGGCGGAGAGTGAGGAGGAAGTATGCTCAATTCAACCGCCAAAGGGTCTAGGAAAATCAAGACTGCAAAAGCAGCAACAAGTAGAGACTCTGGACAACCTCGCAAAACTGTTCGACAAAAACTTACTAGCAGAACTGACCACAGAAAACACGTGGATGGACCGCCTCAGGAGAGTGGTAGAGAGAAGGGACAAACAAGGATTCGAATTGATGGGACCCTATACAAATCCGTTGTGGTCGCAGATGGCAGTTCAGGACGACTGCATCTTGGTGAATAATCGGCTAGCGGTACCAGTTCAACTACGACAAGCTGTCCTCAAACGAATACATCGGGGACACCCAGGACAGGAAGCGATGTTGGGAGCAGCGCAATATCTGTGGTGGCCACACATGAATAAGGACATCGTGAATTTGGCAGAGGAGTGCCGTAGTTGTACCAGATATGGTAAGAATGTTAAATACCTTATTTCGAAAAATTCGTCAAAACCACTACCACTGCTCACGCAGCCGGGACAGGAGGTACAACTAGACTACGCGGGGCCTATAGAAAATCAGAAAAGAAAAAAAATCTATCTTTTAGTAGCTATTGATCGATTCTCAAAATTTCCATCAGTGAAGGTTACAAAATCCACAAGTGGAAAGAGCACAGTAAAATTCTTGAGATCATATATCGACACACATGGAGTCCCTGAATCAATTCGTTCGGATCAATTTTCAGGCTTTAAGGGAAAAACTCTAAAAAAATTTTGTTCGGAACTTAATATCGAACAAAAATTCTGTCCGGTGGGGGATCACAGAGGTTGGGGGTTGGTTGAACGTACAATTCAAACAATAAAAAGAAGACTGGGAGTGATGATGCTCGATGAAAATAATAAATCAATCAAATTATGTCTCAGTATTATAATGCGAGATTTACGATGGAACAAGCAGAAAACAATTCAAGTATCCCCGTTCCAAGCACATTTCGGCAGACTACCAAAAACAGAATTTAAAATTGTGAGGGATAGGTTTTTAAATAATTCTGATTCTTTAGACAAACAACACTTGGAACGCTCAGCACTGACTGCGTCTCAAATGAAACGGAGGATTGATCAGTCGAGAGAGAATCTCAAGATAGTGCGCAAGGGACAACTGAGCAGGGATACAAGCCCACTGCACAAGCAGCAGATAACATCGGACAGAGACAAAGAAAGAGCCAAAGCCCTAAAGGAATTGTTGGAGGCAAACGCCCGATGGAACTACGAAAGAAGGGATGCAGCTAAAAATGACATCAGGAAATTAGTGGACGAGACAGGTCAACTCAATCCCGATCTTCGAAAAGAAATGATTTACTCTTGGGAAAAAGGATTTGTGGAAGATAAAGTAGAAAACCAATGCAAGTCACCACCCAAGACAATACTTAGAAAGGACCCTCTAAGGAAAAGCGGACAAGCCCTAACCAGACCACTAAAGGGGAAAATAGCTTCAGAAACGGAATCAACAATTAAGACATCGGCCGGTTCGATCTATAGAAAATCGGACATAGCTCAATCAAAAACCGTACTTACACAAGAAAAACAGAGAAGCACAAGTAAAAGTCCATCGTCGGAACCTACAAAAAAGTTCAAGCGAGTCAGTTCTCCAGAATTACTAGAGGAGCTGGAATCGGAGGATGAACTCCAAGGAGAAATGGAAATTGCAAATGAAATGAACCCAACAGAGCGCTTTCAGAAGAGCCAAACAATAGTCACTTCTAAGGACACAGAAGCCGGGGGAGGACTGAATCTTGCAATAAAAAGAGCTAAACCAAACCTGGCGGGACCAAAATCAGCAGAGGAAACAAACACGAACAAGCCGGAAAAGAGCGGAAAAGAGAAGAAAAGCCGAAGCAAGCAACAACAGGGGACCAACGCAAACCAAACTGCGACTGCAGTCAACTCGGAACAAGAGCAAGCAATATCTAAACCGGATTCGGTCACAGCAGATACCAAAATCCAGTCGAGCTCTACGCCGAAAACCAAACAGCGTCCGAAACTGAAGGGCATTGACGCGCACACCCCTTTGGAAGATATAGTGGAGACGTTTCACAATAGAAATTTGGCACCGTCTGACTGGGAGAAGTACGCGGACCAACTGTTAAAAAGAGGGGTGCAGCGAGTTGCGGATGAACTTAGAGAAAATCCTCAAAAAGGCTCAGAATTGGATACAAACTTCGAACCACCACAAGGATTCTCGGACGAATCAAGTGCGGAAGAGTCAGGTGTTCGACGAAGTTCTAGACAAACAAAGAACAAAGAACCCAAGCGATTCGGAGATTCGATAAAACATTCAATCAAAGAAATATCCGAAAATCTTACAGGAAGAGGTCTTTTAAAGGAGGCACTTAAAGAATACAGAAACCAACTGAGAGATTTCAAAGATCGGGACGACAGACCTTTGGAGTCAAAAGTGCGACGACTCGAAAGACATTTATTTATGCGAAAATTCGGATATGCTACTTTAGATGAAGGAGTAGATTGGAACCCGAGTTGGGAAATTGAGCTGGAGGAAAACTGAAATTTACATAATCCATCTAAAAGACTTTCTTCAGAACTGAGTAAATTGAACTCTTTTAAATAAATTATCCTACTGATGTTGTATAATTTATTTCTTTCACCGAGGGGGGTGTGTCATACCGCTACTGCAGTAGCAGTATTTATTATACGTATGTACAGCCAACCTCTGGTGTTAAATCATTATTTTATGGTACGCTCAAGGTCATACATAAGTGATGACACTGAGACTAAGTGAGAGATCAGAGTACTTAACAATGATCTATCTCTCAGTACATAAGAAAACAAAGAAAAGAGAAAATCTAAATTCAATATTCAGAATACAGTATTGAATTCCAACTTGTTTTCAATTTGATATCGCAACGCATATCACACCTTCCAACAAATTCGCTACTTGAAATTGTTTTTCAGACGACGAACTGAAGCCGGAAGAAACGGACTCAAATATGACAGCTGCCGGTTCAACTTCTGGTGCGTTGTCAGTGGGAGCTTCAGGAGTTTCGGGAGGTGTCGGAAGCCCTGGATTTATCACAGTTGGATATCGAGGCACCTTCGCTTTCGGCCGAGACGGACTGGCCGATATCCAATTTAGGAAAGTGATGCGGATACTCGTTCACGGTCGAGTGAGTTTATGCCGAGAAGTGTTCGGCCACTCGTTGAATGAGTCACGTGACCCGGACAGGGGAAGTGTCGAGAGATACAGTTCAAGGTGAAGATCACATTTTGATCTTACAATTTTTCGGAAAAATCTTAAAATCTGGAAGAACTGTCATTTTCCTGAATGGCTGTCTAATTCCATGATCAAAAGCTCGATTAAGTCATAGTTCAAAAGTTACTAAATTGTGTTCTAAAACCTCAGAAAAATCCAAACAAAACTTAATTTGAAACAAATAAAAAAGCAAAAAAAATGGGGCGAAACTGGCTGATCGCTTGCGGAAAATGGTTTTCAGTTTGTAGGATTTGCTTAAAGAGGCTGCCTTGTAGTCATTTAGCCCATCTTAACGTTTCAATTTACCATATAAGTTTGCTTAATTCACCCGAAGTCACAAAATTTTAACAGGCCAGCAGCTTTCATTTTTTAAAAAACTTTTGTAGTTCAGCTTTTGTCGTTAGTTCTCCTTGGAGCCTAAATTTCCCCTATTAGTATGACTGTGTTGCCTTGTTGCGGAATTTGAGTCTTGTAATGTTTAGTCAATGTTTTATACGTCTCGTACCAAATTTCAGATTCTTTCTCAAGTACAATTCTGTGGAACAGGCATTCGACCAATTGACCAAAAGTGGGTTCCAGCTGAGGGCATCATGCGCCAGCTCCGCCAACGGGACCTCCGTAGCCTCCGACACTGTGAGTCATAATAACTCCCCCTGTTTGTTAGTAAATGTTAGAAATACCGTTTCGACAGTTTTTTTAATTGTCAGCACCCATCACAATGCCTGAAGATTTTGCCAGCAACCAGTCTCAACATAGTGTCCCCACTTAGGAGCAATCGTTCAGAGACTAAACTGCTAGAGGCCAAAGTTTTCAATTGCGTGCCAATGCAGTGCGTTTTTTACGTCTAAGAAAGGCTGCAAGGAGACATTTTTTCTCAAAAAATGGACAAAAAAAATTGATTTAATAATATAAATATAAAAAGAACAAACAATCAATTTTTAGCTTACGTTGCGATAGCTCGATAGGTTTCTTTCTTGCCTTGCTAAAAATGCATCTTATATTTTTAGTTTAGGACCTGACAGGATTTGTTTGTCTTTGGAAGATAAGGTAAAAAGGAAAGACGCTTCAAACGTTTTTACTCGAAGAATGGTATAACAATGATTAAGGATTAAGGCAGTATGATTTTTAAAATTAAATTCACCAACATCTTTTGAGGCCTTCAAATAGCACCTTGTAGTTTATTTCTAATCTGAACGAACAAATGAGGAATTCTTTTTTTAGCTAATTGAAGCGCATTATTTTTGAGACACTGAACGCATCAAATGAATTAAGATTAGCTTCTCTGCCCTTAACTTGTACACTTAATTGGATTACTTCTATGCTTGTAAAAGGATTTAACTTTAGACAAACTTTATTATTGGTTTTACAAAAGGGCGAATTGTCGTGGAGTTAAAAATAGGGTGTGTAAGCATAAGGGATTAAATAAGGCGGGGTTAAAGAGTGATATGCAATTTTGGTATGTTTTTCATGCTACTGTTCATCGGATTTTTCTCAATTCATTATTTTCTGTTGATATATTAAGAAATTTTTTGCCTCTTTCCATTCATTTAAGTCAATTTTGGTTTCAAAACCTGGACTTTTTGTCTCGTGTTATTTCTCGTCACTTAATTTAGAAATTGTTCTTCTATTTTCAGGACAACGAGGAGACGAGATGGATGCACTACACAGAATTCATATTCCACAGAGAGTAAAAAATATGGAAGATGACAAAAACACAAGCTCATCAGCAAAGAAGTCAAACGCTCAGAATTATAGTTCACGCCTAATTGTTGAAAAGTCTCATTTTGGCTCGCACTGATTTGGCACTAGATTTGGCCCTGAAGTTTGTTATTGCAGATTTTGTCTTGTTCCAAAAATTCTCTCCCAGAGGCCGATAACCGCCAGATATTTTCATGAACTCTACGTGCGTGACCAGGAAATGGCAAGCTCACAACACGTATCAGCCCAGTTGTCGAAATTAAGGTTTCCCAATCAAACAAAAAGTAATTTGATAAATGGGAGAAATCTGCTGGTAAATAAAAAATACCTGCTGGTAAGCGGGACCAAACCTGTCAGTTTTTTGTAGGATGAAATTGTTCTTGTGACAAAACCTGTTAGCCGCGGTGATTTCATCAGCGACAGAAGCTAGTTCTCGTGATAATCACGGGTTCGTCAAACAATCTAATGAGTCGGAAAAATTTTTTTTTTTATGACAAAAAAATTGAAACTGTTCAAATTAAGATATAAAATTTAAAACTTGTCAACAATTTGGCGTCAACTACAGAATAAATGGTTTAACTTATGTACAAATATCAAATCTTGTGCTCTTTTAGCTCATTTAGTTACCCAGCCCTGAATATTATTACCCTGCATTTACATTACAACACTGCAATCTGAACACTCTATAGTTACAATCAAGTGCTCTAACAAATAAAAAGTAAGCCGAGGATTTCTCATGCTTATTGTTTCCGGTACCATAATTTGATTTTATAGATTGATGTAAATATCTGTGACCAAAACTGAAAAATTAAACTACCTTTAGCTATAATGCAGTTCATACATTACGCTACACTACACTTGAGGTTTAAAAAAGATATTAGTTCACAAGTTTTCCCTCCAAAAGTTATCGAAAACAATTGATTAGCCATAGTTTTTCAGACAAATATTGCAGAGGAGTAGCCACAATTTGACACAGGCAACAAGGACTACAATTAAACAAACATAACATAAGTGAAAATTACCAAATTTACAGCAATCTAACTGCCATCTAACATTTCCGAAAAAATATCAACAATTCGAAAAATATTTCTTTTTTTTAAATTACAGGCAAAACCGTACTTTTTGCTCCAATTTTCGAAGAGAGCGAGGAAAATATGTGCTCTGTGTGGTTTATTATATTCAGACAACTTTTACAAAAGTCTGGTCCCTAGGGGGATCGATCTTTTGATCTGCATTGGTCCAGCCGTGTGTGCACACCACAATAGAAAGCTCCCAACAGTATGACAAAATCTGTTTCTTTCATTATGCCGCACTGCAAAATCGTTTCAAATTGAATTGAAGCAGCTATATTATGCCGCACTACAAAATAATTTCAAATTGAATTGAGGCAGTTAGTTTTATCAACTCCAAATAGGACTCAAAATTTTGATATTATCAGCCTAAAGTTCGTAGTCTTGCACAATTATCCGACATCAATTAAAGGGCAGTTGGAACACTCAGGGCTTTGCCCTGATATGAGCAGTCTTGTTAGATTTATTTGAGGATGCGACAACTTTGAAAAAGCCCTGTTGCGGAATCCGCAACAAAGTCTCGCTTTTGATTTTTTGTGGTATTGAAGCAAAAGACATATGGCCAAAAGATAAATTCAGCTCCAAATGCTGGAGCAAGCAACAAGACTTGCAGTTTCAAGAACAATGTCTAAAGGATGTGCAAAAATATAATGTTAAAAAATCAAAGCAAAAAAGAAATCACACAAACGGCTTAAAAGTAAAATTATGTCCACAGAAAATATATATTTTAGCTGTTATTGTTCCGACTTTCGATACGAAAGTAAGGGAATATTTGTGCTCGGGTGGTTTTTTTTCAGACAAATTTCGACTTTTTAAAATTTTCTTTTAATTTATTTCATTTAATTTTATAATGTTATTACTGCTCCATAAACCTTAAAAGGCAATCGGAACATTCAGGGCTTCGCCCTGATACGAGCAGTCTTGTTGTTCCGACTTTCGGTAAGAAAGTAACGGAATATTTGTGCTCGGGGTGGGGTTTTTTTTTCTTCAGACAAATTTCGACTTTTTAACTAGCCATTTTTGACGGAATTTTTTTATATCATTCAAAAGATATTGTTGTCCTGAGCTTAAACTTGAAAAAATATTTTACCTGTGATCATTTTTCGTAGAATTATGAGGGTTTAAAGATTGCCATTTTGGTCATTTTGAGCAATTTGGGACAATTAACGCGCGATATAATTCGCGCTATTAACGCGTAAGCGGAGATTTAATCCGTCTTATAAATCGTTCCAAATTGGTTGAACGAAGCTTATTTGCCATAATTGATTTGTTACAAGGAACGAAATCTATCTTTATAGACTTTATATGGCGTGTGGCGTGTGGGGGATGATTTTCATAAAAAATTTCAAATTTTTGAAAAAAAATTTCATTTTACTTTATTTCATTTAATTTTTTATTTTTATTACTGCTGCTCCATAAACCTTAAAAGGCAGTCGGAGCATTCAGGGCATCGCCCTGATACGAGCAGTCTTGTTTGCTTTTGCATTCCATAAGAATTTGTTCGGTGATTTCTG